GGGGGGGGGCAGATGTGGACGGAAGAAGTGGATGAGGCCGCCCCCCCCCCGCCGCACGCGTGCTTAAAAAAGGACGCTCCTTGAGGCTGACGAGTGGGCCCGCTGTCGGTGGTTGTCATAAATAAGACGATTGGTGGCGGTTGGATGGCCTTCGGGTAGGGACGCGGCGGACGCCGAGGAGACGCGCGGTGCGTCCACGCCGACGCAATCCAGGCGCAATTTTGGGCCGGAAATGGGTCCACGCAGACGCCATGCGGACGCGATGGGTCGCCGCGTTGGGTCTCTACTTTTGTCCGCGCCGATCCAAACGGATGCAGCGGATAAAATGGGTCGCCCCATTAGAGTTACTCTGATAACGACGGAAGAAGAAAATCAAAAGAAAGAGAAAAGATGGTTTGAATCCGGCGTGGTGGGGTATCCGTAGTCGCACGCTAGTTCTGGTTTCCCTGAGAGGTCATGTCATGCATTACCGAAAAAGGGTTTCCCCCCGCTTTATATTATAAAGCACCAGACACGCACCAGACACACGATCACAGGGTAACTGCCGGGACGAACGGCACAACAAGCCCAAAAGGGAAAAAGAAGAAATAAAAGCCAACAACGGCAGCTCGGCAAGCACAAATGATCAGCCACCGCTGCGCCCTCCACCTTCATCCCACCACACGCCATGGCACCGGCGCGCCGCATACCAAGCAGCACCTCCAAGAAGGAATGCGACGCCAACGACGCTGCTGCCCGGACGAGTCCTAGGGTTTCCCCCGGCATACGGAGGGGAGCGGGTGATGGGTAGCGCCGACGCCCTTCAAGAAGGAATGATGGCACCCTCAGGTGTCACCGCGTCGGAGCCGGAAGAACCGGCAAAGATTTCTCCCACATCCCCAAGCACCGCTACCCACTCGAACCGGGGCCATCCAACCATCAAGCCACCCGCAAGCACGCGCCACCACGGTCTTGGACACATCCACGCCGCCCCGCTGCGAACACCACCATGAGGCCAAGGAGGCCGGAAAGAAGCGCCAAGCGACGGGAGGAACCACACCGAAGCCAAGCGGGAGGGAACCACCTCCCCCGCCGACGTGCGGGAGGCCCGAGCCCCTGGCGACGTCGTGGTCGCCGACCGGACGTGGCAGCAGGGCACACCGGGCCACCCCTGGCCCGGCCAGGTCCACAACGGACCCGCAAAGCCCCGCCGGCCATGTTGCAGCAAGCCGGCACCTGCGCCGCCCGCTCCCAGCCGTCAACGTCGCTCTCCCGCCTCCTGGAGGCCACGCCGCCGGCCCGTCCCGCTGCCGGCCCGCCCAAACCCAGATGGGGCCCGAAGGGCCCAGATCTGGGCCGAGCGGGCTGGTTCAGGCCGCGCCGCCCCGCCGCCAACGGCGACGCCGTCGCCCAGTCGTCCACCCACGCCGCGCCAGGATCTCCGCCGCCACGTCGGACCGCCGCCGCCGAAGAGCACCCCCCGGCGCACACCGCCCCGCGCCGGGGAGCACCGAGAGGGGAAGGGCAGGAGGCCGCCGCCGCCAGCAACCCAGGGGCCAGGCCTGGCCGCGGGTGCCGGCGACGGCGGCGGGGAGGGAGGGAGGGAAGGGGGGGCGCCGGAGCGCGGCCGGTCGCCCGCGGGGACGACGCGGTCGCGCAAGGTGGAATGTCTCTTTCCATGTCATGCATTCAAATCGAAGGAAATAATAAGTCTCAGGAAACGAAACTAGAGCTATGTATCAGAACGAAATAAGTCAAGGTGGGAATGGGCCGGGTCGACCCACCGGGTCTTTGGCCCGACCCAAAAAAACAAGGCCAATGGGTCAGTCGGGTCGGCCTCATACAAAAATCGGGCCAGTAGAGCCGGCACGGAGTGCCCCATCGGGTCAGCGGGGCCGACCCACCTCCGAGAGTACTGGAGTCAATCGGTATCGCCAAATCCATCTTACTAGCTTAGCTTATACAACTAACATCAGCTAATTATAGTGTACTAATTAGCCGAAACATTAACTAGCTAACATTTGTACACGTACTGGAATCCATTAACTCAATCCTCCTTTATAAACTGGACGTGGAAAGAGCTGAAACTGTATATTGTGGTTCATTTGTAAACTTTTATTATTTCAATCATGCATGTTTAGATCATAATTTTGTTTTACTTGTAATAACATATTTTTGAGTATATCCTATGTACCACAACCAAATATTATATAAGAAAATAAAATTTGGGTCGACCCGAAGTACCCATTGGACCGGCGAGGCCATTGACTTTTTTGAATTGGGTCGACCCGTGGCCTCTCAAATTGGCCTCAAGGCCAACAGGGCCGGGTCCAAGGCCAGGTCCGGGCCGACCCATTCCCACCCTGAGAAATAAGCATGTGCAGTGAGAGGCGATCATGTGCATACTCAGCATCTCTCCGCAAGCATAGCCATCTGTAACGGCAGCATAGTAGAGATCGTGCAATAAAAAATATACTATTTGGATCTGATCTATTGGCCATTTATTTGATAATAGATCTAGAGATTTCGCATGTTCGTCTTGGCAGTTGAGACAAACAGGAGACACGAAGCATGTGGCCCTTTTTTTTATTGCGGCCATGCAAGGTCTTCTTAATAATAGCGTGTTCATATGAATTAGGCTTCTGTTTCTCCCCCTTTCCTCTTTCCTCCTTGAACACATTATACGGCTGTCATTGTTACATACTCCATCTGTTCACAAATATAAGATGTTTTGGCTGAAATGAATGGACAAACACACTAAAACATGTCTATATGCATCTGATTTGGAAAAAAGTTAAAATATTTTATATTTGTGAACGGAGGGAGTATTTTTTCCGCGGAAAGTATACACCTTCTAAGTTATGAAGTGAGTTTATTCAGCTATTCTTGGTAGAAATTAAGGGGATGGAACCAAAAGAATCTTTTGAAACCTGACTGAAGGATACACCTTGCATGCTCACAAGATTTGCATGAGAGCTTGGAAATGAACAAAAAGGGAAGCTGAAAGGTACGCGTTACCTAAATTTACTACCAGAACACCTGAGGGCATGTACAATGTATAGCCTCAAGGTGATGCCTTGCATGCCACGTAGGTTCGGATATGACGTAAAGTAGGTTCGGATAAAGAAGCGGGATCCTCTTCAGGAGGCGGGTGCTTGAAGAGAAAAAGTGTGATCCGGTGACAAAAGCTGAAAAGGTTGAAGTGAAAAGTAGAGATGCATGTGTACTAAAGTCTTTATTTTCTATTTCTTAATAAGGTCCACTAGCGGTAGCTTGCATTGGGAGTGTATCTTTTTCAGAGTGCCCCAAACCCACAACACCATCCGGCCAGATCTACTAGCAGTTTATATACAAATACACCTTCTATATGATCTGGAATAACTCCGAAGCAAAATGGCTGAGTTACAAGCAATGAAAAGTCGTATGTACATTTAAGGCTTTTTACACGGCTGCATACCTGTGATCTGAATTTTGTCACCCAGTTTTGAGTCACACAAGAAGTTACTGCAGATACCCTTCTTTGAAGGATCTTCTTTTCCAGTTTCAGGATCATAATAAACAGCACGGCACACACAAAGACTAGCAGTCCTTCCATCAAAAGAATCACCATACCTAGTAGACGCAATAGAATAGAGTCGGACGGTATTTGGGGCCCCAGGTTTCTTTGGGTTCTCTCCCTGGAAATGCACAAAAGGCTGAGAGAGCAACAAAGATATGGGACAAAAGGAATTGAACATAAGACAGGAACTGATCTTTAGTTGCTCATTAGCTAACTGATAACTAATCACCAAGAATGATCAACATGTTTCTTCCCTTTTTATAAAATGTTTTATCAGCAAGGATCTATATACTTTCTTTTAACAACAATTGTTATATTGTGAGCAACCCAAGAATCATAAGCACTAGATTTTGCAGCCCAAGACTCGGAAATAGAAGATTTTGCATTTACAGATTTATCCACCATTCAACATCACATATATGAAGAATCTCTTATACTAGAAGGGCTGGACGCGCTTTGCTGCGTCGTTGGTGTTGTTGGGTTTTCATAATTTTTCTACTCTCACTATTTCAAAATATAAGGTGTACTGGTTTTTCGAAAAGTCAAACCTCTTTAAGTTTGACCTTTTTTGTAGAGAAATATATCAATATCCATAATAACAAACTGGTACCATTAGATTCATCATGAAATGAATTTCCATATTTCATTTATTTAGTATTGTGGATGTCGATGTTTTTGGTTGTCGATTGATTTGAAAAATCATTAACCAGTCAAAATTGTGAACCAAATCCAAAATTGAATACCTGAATCGAATGAGGGAGCTCCAAAATTAGGGAGTATAATAGATTAAAAGAATTGAATGAGAGAGTTCCTTGATAAAAAAAATTGATCCGGTCAAAATCAGGTGACCCAATTCTAAATTGAAGACCTCAATTGAATGTGAGAGCTCCAAAATTAGGGAGCACAGTGTATTTATAGATGTAGAAATGATGGTTTAAATTTCTGACCCTTCTTAATATTTGCTTTTACTTTTTTTTCAAAGGGTTGAAGGGAGCCACGGGGCAGCGGTAAAGTTGTTGCCCTTCTCCGGACCCTGCGCAAGCAGGAGCTACGTGCACCAGGCTGCCCTTTTTATTTTTTCAAAGGGTTGGATTCTAGAACTGCAGACAATTAATGATCAACATTCACTAGCGATCAAGTAAAGGAAAAAAAAGTAGTGAAAGCGATATTAGTATGAAGGATCAAGAATGATACATTATCTTGGGCAATCATAAGGCGTGGGGTGGAGGGGGATACTTACTGGAGGAATGACACCATAACTTTGTCCTTCCCAGTATGGGACATTACCACCATGGTCAATGACAAAGTGACATGTTTCACCAGGAGTTTTAGGACCTACAATTCTCTCAACGGAGACAATTGAGGCTGTGTAGGGTCCCTTTGGTTTGTACAAGTTGAGGGGTGGCTCCTTTGTATTCTCCAGCTCCAGAGGTTTAATAGCAACTTTACATTTACTTTTGCTTGCTTGTTGCACGGACATGCAAAAGACCTTCGTATGTCTTGGTTGCAGGGTCTTGTTTTCCCATGCTAATTTTCCAGTCCATGACTTATTGCAGGAGTTATTACCCTGAACAATAACAAGTAAATCATGTACAAAAATACAGTACTACGGATGATAGAAACTTAGGGTCCAATAACCCCTAAGCTAAGGAGAATCAAATGCTGAATGTTTGCCTGTAAAGCCCAACACCAATTCCTAGGTCCTAGAGACATGAAAGAATTATAGCCTAGGAATGTTTTCGAAAAGGAAGTGATGTGCATGTTGCGTGAGCATTTCTTAGTAATAATTCTGATAAGAAACTACGGCATACAAAAAATGTGCATGTCACTAGTTCATATAGCACATATTTCCCAGGTGTGAGTCTAATTTGTACTTCATTTGGGAAAAATAAGTCATATCCCGCCTAACCTAAAAATATATAGCACCTATCTCCCATTGTATTGGCGGTAACCGATGACTGACATCTGTTTGGCGGTAACTTTCCAATGCTGAGCGGGATATAGTTGCGAAGTAAGCAATGGAGATGCCAACTAAGTCAGGCAAAGATATGATCGAGAAAACTCTAAGCCGCATAGAGCTGCTGGCAATGACACATTTCGCTTCAAGTCCCTAAACAGTTCAACTAGCAGGGTGCTCTATCTGCTGGTTTCCAAAAAAAAAAGGTTCTTGAGCAGTTTAGAATTTTGCCTTTCGGAACTAATTATTCTACAGTGCCAACGCAGATAGAACTAGGAGATTCCTCATCGATACCACCCGAATGGGAGCAACATTAAACCTCAGACAGTTCAGACTAACCACGCACCTTGAGCGAAGAACAACTCCTGTAGTGGCGACCATCCGAACCAATCGGCGCCACGGCAGCCACCTACAAGGCACCAGGAAAGCAGACGAAGCTTAGGGGCACAGCGAACGGGGAAGCCGCGCGCACGCGGAGGGTGTAAGACTAGAGCGCGCGTACCTGGGCTCCTAGGGCGGAAGCCATGGCCGATCGCTCACGTGCTTGCGGAGGAGTTCGCTAGGGTTTTGAAATTTGATCTGCGGAAGCGACGGGGGGAGAAAAGAAAGGGACACGAGTGTGGAAGTTTGGAGAAGAGTAGAGAAGCAGAGGCCGCTATCGGGGTAAACGGCAACTTTGTTCTGTTCCGCACTGCGTACCACAGTTGAGAGAGGATTTTTAGAGCACGGGTGCACCTTATGTTAAACAGTTTATTAAAAAAACAACTTTAAAGTTTCAAAAATATCAGAAAATAATTCTACATGATTATATGGCTGTATATTACAAATGTATAAAGTTTGATAATGAAATAAGTAAACATGTTGCATTGTCCAATCTTTTCGAAATCACGCTTTTATCATTTTTGGGTAACTCACATGATTATTTATTTCATCATCAGGATTTGCACATGTGTGCTATACATCCATACGAACATGTTAACTTTTTCTCGGATTTTTTGAACAAGACACTATTTTGACACTATTTGAAATATAGGCCACTATAGCTCCGTGCTGCCTTTTATATTTTTTGGGCGCTACTTTGCACTGGTCGATTGGCCTACCGTCGGTCCAGCTCGGCAATGTACATGTACGATATCAGCATGTGTACCCCCTCCTCCGTTCTTTTTAGTCTGCATATAAGATTTGGTCAAAATCAAACTTTGTTAACTTTGACTAAGTTTATAGAAAAGAATATCA